CTGCACACTCCTCCATCTGAGGAGTGGCCACTGGAGGTATCCCTTGGGGGCAATGTAAACACTGCCCTTCTCTCCAAAGAAAACATGTTTGCATGAAAATTCCTGCAGGGAATAATTATACTCACCAGAACAACTACATTAAGCTGTATTTGTTCTGGTGACCATAGTGTCCCTTTAATTTCTTACGTTTACAATTTTTTTTTACATTTTTTTCCTGTGAATTGCTGATCAGAATATAATGTTAAGTTAAAAACGCTGTGTTTAAAATTGGCATGACCTGCTAGGTTTTCTAGTCCATCAAGTTCAATTTGCAAACACATCTTTTTGATCCAACAGAAGGCAACATACCCCCCCCCCCCTTCTTAACTCCAAAACTGCAATCATATTTGCCAGGTATCACAACATTTAGGAAAACCTATGTAGATTGCAGGAGCCCTGAGGGGAAGTTGTGAACCTTGCAGTGGAGTCATGGGAGAGGTTTGTGATGAGAGTAAACGTCAAAGATATCAGATAGGGAGCAACTATATAGTGGAGGGAATAATTACATAGCTTTTTTGTTGAGGCTAGCCAAGGATAGGGTGGCCAAATGGCTCTCACTGTCTTCAGGCAGTCACCTTGTTCACTGCCTGCTTTCATCTTTTGCACTTTCATGTTGTGTAGTGACACTGTTAAACCCAGTTCTTTCCTGCCATTTGGTTACCAGATGGAGAAGTGTTGGCAATGAAGTATGTTATGTTCTTGTCTGGCCTAAATTTCTCTCTGTCTCTTGCCATGCAGCCATTTTGCCATTCAGATGTAATTAAGTTTTGTTTCTTGTTATATTAAATCAGTCTGTTTGTGTTTAAGCAAACCACTGACTAAGGATTTTACTGAATTACTTAGCTTCATATCTATGTGTGCCCCGCTCTGACTTCTACACACTGCTGCTGTGCTAAAACAGCTCTACTAAATTTCAACATTATGTCTCACACGTATACTGTTACACTGTTATGTTTGATACTTAAAAAAAATTAAAAAAAATTTAATAACTAGAATAACTGGCAATGAATTATAAAAAAGAACTTTGTTCTTTTGCAGTCATTCCTTAGTTTATTTAGCAGTCCATCAGTTATTTTGGTGGGTGACACTGTTGACTCTATTATCCATCTTTCTCCTGGCCTCTTCACCTTCGTTGAGCCAAACAGGTCACTTTTATTCATATTCTCTCCTTCCTCCTTTTGTTCCTAGTTTACTTCCAATATAGGAATACTTTTAGTATTTATAATACAGCTATACTCTATATAGCTCTCTAAATCATATTTTATAATCCAATAGGAACAGGGCTGGATTAACATAGGGGCTGATGGAGCTGCAGCTCCAGGCACAGGCCCAGGCCCATGGAATAGGCCCTTTTAAAAACACTACTATTGGGTTTGCCACCTGGCTGGTATTTTACCAGCACAGCCTGTATTTGTGGGTGCCTAGCAGTGCTGGTATTGCAGTAATACCGGCAATACAAATGCAGATATTTTTCTCAGTATAAACGGAGATTACTGTGCAATACCAGCACCGGCCAGTAGGGGTCTCTGTGTGTGGAGAGAGGCAGGGATAGGAAGTTAGAGCATATCCCTTCCTGCCTCTCTCTACTCACTGATCCAGGGGAGAGCAGCTACACAGCACAGAGATTTCAGACAGTAGCACCCAGTCTGCAGAGACAGACTACAGCTTAGGGAAGTGAGGGATGGGGGGAAAGGCAGCAGGGAAACATGGGGACGCTGTGAGACACAGTGTCTCCATGTCTCCCAGCCAGTGTCCCTAGTGTCCCCATTGCTCCCAGTATCCCCTAGACTCCCAGTGTCTGTGCCCATGTCTCTCAGTGTCCCTAGTGTCTCAGTGTCCCCAAATATCTGTCTCCTAGTGCCCACATGTCTCCCAGCCAGTGTCCCTAGTGTCTCAGTGTCCCCATGTCTCCCAGTGTCCCCAAATATCTGTCTCCTAGTGCCCACATGTCTCCTAGCCAGTGTCCCTAGTGTCTGTGTCCCCATGTCTCCCAGTATCCCCACATTTTTCAGTGTCCCAATGTCTATGTCCACATGTGCCCCCATGTCTCCCAGTGTCCCCAAGTGTCTCAGTGTCCCCATGCCTCCCAGCCAGTGTCCCTAGTGTCTCAGTGTCCCCATGTCTCCCAGTGTCTGTGTCCCTAGTGTCTGTGTCCCCATGTCTCTCAGTGTCTCCATGTCTCCCAGTGTCCCCATATCTGTATCCACAAGTGCCCCCATGTCTCCCAGTGTCCCCAAGTGTCTCAGTGCCCCCTGGTGTCTCAGTGTCCCCCTCAGTGCCCCCCCCTGGTGTAGCAGTGCCCCCCCCCTGGTGTAGCAGTGCCCCCTGGTGTCTCAGTGTCCCCTAGTATCCTAGTGACACTGGAAACACTGAGACATGGGGACACAGGGAGAAATGAGGACACTGAGACACTGGGTGACACGGGGACACTGACACTGTGATACATAGGGACACTGATGCCAGGCTGGCCTTCCAATTCTTTGGACAGACATGCCCCCTTTTTGGGCATGTTCGCCCCTTTTGGCAGTTCTGGTTACGTGATTCGCGTCAGTGGCCCACCCTTTTACCCCGCCCATTGACTTCCTGCTTCACTGGACACTGCTGTTAGGAGGTATGGATTTACTTGAAAGATGAAAGCATAAATTAGATAAAGAGATTAGCATAGAGTATCCTTTGAGTTTCCCTCCAACACCATGTCCATCAGATACATGACGCTTGGGAGGTATGACTGTTTTAGTGTTTTTGGTCGATAAGATTCTGTAATTAGGCCCCATCATAATTGTCAGCACCAGGCCCACTGGGCTCTTAATCTGGCCCTGAATAGGAATAGTCTACTAACCACAGTAGCTTTTTCACAATCACGTCTGTAGAGCACACTATTTTTGGTGGGTTGTGTATAAAGGTTTTATTTTAATTAATAAAGTTTGCATTTTGCCTTGATATAGTGGCTTCAATTAATGGTTATCTCTTGGGAAATTCCCACTTTGTTGGGTCTTTCTCAAACTTTCTTTTTTTATTGTCTAAATTAGGGTTACCCCCTGTTGAGATTACTTTAAGTAACCAATTTCGGAGACACCTACATACAATTTATGTGTAGGAATCTCCTATATTTTTATTCACTTTTGGTTACTGTCTTAACCAAGTCAACCAGGATTAATTTATGCCACCTCTTGCTCTCCTCAACAATTTTGGAATGTAAAGTCTTTACCAATACTTGATGATTCTGGTTGTGTTTCCCCAGCTTTCCACCACGTTAACCTGGTACTCTTTCTTCTCTCTTGTGCTTGTTAATTTCCTGCCCATAAACACTGCTATCTTTCAGTCTCGATCCCCTATACATATTCTGTCAACAAGCTTCTGTATTAGCCTTATGCTAATATAGTCCCTCACTGTACACGACTCAGGCTGGTAAGTCACTTAAATTCTGTCCCCAGGTCACGGAGACTTAGTTGCTTAAACTTCTCTTCTTTATCTAAACTATTCACTCCTGTCTCATGTGCTTTATTATTAGTAATCTTTGTTCTTACGCTCTTAGATCTCACTGAAAACGTGTGAACATAGGAAAGGAGTTACTGACATATCTGTGTATTTATACTGTCTTTTGATTTTCAGTTAGTGATGTGTATTTGATCTAATTGATGCTGTTTGAAAAATTGCACACTCGATTGGCTGCTTTCCTTTGATCTTACTGCCTCGCCTGCAAGTTATGTCGGCATATCTTTGCTTGACATGAGTTATCCAGGCTTCTGCCAAAATGTTACTTACATGAGAGGTGGCTAGATATTTCAGTTTATTTAAAAGTGAGGCATCCTAGTGAACTGCATGGCGTTTGTATCCAAATTACAAGCCCAATGCTTTTATTTATTTTTTTGCTACACAGATATTTATGGCTTTTGTTAATTGACCCCTATATGTTTATATGCAAAAAGATGATTGGGTTTTAATCTTAAACGTATACTTTTTTTTTTTACAATCTTTGATTTTCAAGATTTGATACAAAGTTGAAAGAGAATTTATTTTTTTTTGTAGACAAATATGCATAATTAAGCACTGAAGAGATAAAACACATGGTAAGGATATTACAAATGAGACACAATCAACCTCAATGCAAAGTAGCTCTGATACTTTGGGCATAGCTAAATACCCCCATCCCCATGTGCCTCATTGTCTCAAGGCGAGGGTTCTGGAACTGTTATCGATTGTGGTTGCGGGGGAGTTGTGGTTGGATCTTGTGAGGGATCGTCATGTAGCATTCCACTGCGATAATATGAGGGTAATGTCAGTGATCATGCTTTGACGGCTTCCTCTTTCCTCCGGTAGTTAGGCTCCTGCACTGGCTTGTGTTGCTTTGTTTACAGTTTAATATTTCGTGGAGGGCTATTCATATCCCCGGGGTGTCTAATGTAATGGCGGATGCCCTCTCTCGTTTTCAGTGGCGGGAGTTCAGGGAGGCGGCACTGGGGGCGGACGCTATCGGGTTCCTGTGCCCAACAGAGGTGTGGTGCCTTGGGTTGACAGAGTGATGGATCCCGGGGTTGGTGGCGTATGCCACATGGTGCAGGTATGGTAAGGCATCGGGGGGCTTTAATTTGAGCAGGTCCATGGGGGCTGCAGGTCGGATGAGGAATGGCTCCAAGGTTTGTTGCGCCTGCTCTGGTTCTGGGAGGCATTGGGCTGCTCTCCCGGGCCGGTAACGGTAAGTTGGCTAGGCTCAGCTTTTGGTTTAAGTTGTCGAGAGTCTCTGATTTTACCAAGGATTTCATGGTTTCCATGGCAATGAGAGGTTGGCAGCAGGGGACTAGGATCGCGTATGCCATGGGTATGCGCCTCAGACTTTGAGGTTGTGTTTTTCAGCGTGGTGTACTGGGCCCATCGACGCGCTGATGTCTGCCCGGGTGGGCTTTGCTTAGGCCTGTCTCCTGCAGTGGCTGACATCCAGTGGTTTGGAGCTCAGGGCATGCGGTGGGTTCATCTACTGCCGAAACTAGTATAATTGTCCTGTTTGATAGGAGTGCCGGACATCTTGGTAACCCACCTTGGGGGCAACTTTTAGGCAATTCCCCGGTATTGGAACTGGGGGACATGATCAGGAGGGACTTGGCATAGGTGCTGTTACTTTTTCCTGACATCTGCCTGATCTGGTTGGAGGTGGTGTCCTGTAACTATTGTCGCTGCACCAGGGATCAGCGAGCGATAAAGCGCTGCAGGGTCAAGCTCAATAAGCGGAGCAATGTTTTTCAGGAGTGATGGGTTGCATCTCACAGAGGTTGGATTAGACCTCTTTAATTTAGCTTTGCAAGACGCTTTGGAGGAGGCCATGGCTGGTTTGGTGGGACGTCCCCGCTGATTTTTTTGAGGGTGAAACAGCGGGGCTTGTGGCGGAAACGGTCCCTTGTCAATCAGGGTTGGACCAGCAGTCCAGTGGAAAAGACTGATCCCTCCCCAAACCTCGGTTATGTTTATGGGTAAGGTACGTGCCCAGTGAGCCAGAGGCTGGCCAGTGGTTAGCACGGCGTTAAGGTTAGGCCAGTTGTGAAGCCGGTTTGGTGTATAGGACAAGCGGGTAAGGCAAGTGCCAGAGATCAGCAGGAATGGTTGACAAGGGCGTGGAACCTGGAATGTTATGGTTTACATTATGTTAATGTATGGTTAATAAGTAATGTATTTTATATTTATTATTAATAAAGATGTTGCCTGTTTGTCACCATCAACGTCCTACGTCTTTTTATTAAGGTAAGCTAATATATGGGTATGTTCATCTACACAGTCCACACTACACTCACACATGAGAACTGCTACCACCTCCCCCTCCACTGCCTGCATCCCCACCTAGGTCAACACCACTATTAGCATTATTCAGCCTTTGGATACTAGTATTAGTAGCATGTCCATTACGTCCTAGCCAACACCCATTGTTGTTATTTTTTTACCATCCTTTTTATGCTGCAACAATGCTACTACTGTCACTGCAGCTCCTTCTACCAGAGCTACTTAAAATGTTATATCTTCTTGGAGCCCCTCCAAGAAGCAACAAGGGAGAGTGCAGTAGAGTCTTCTTTGTGGGGGGATCAGAGCCACGTTTTAGTGCAGAGTACCAAAATAGTGTCCCCAATGTCTGGTGTTGGTGTTGATTATTCCAGTGATGAGAATTCGGTTTCCTCCACTAAACTGGGACTAAAAACGTGGTCTACTGAAGTACTAAAAAAACCTGCAAAGTTTTACACTACATGGTCAAAAGGACAGAGACGCTGCACCCAGACCACTTCTTTAAAGGGGGTGACTCTAGTGTCCCTTTAAGACCAAAATATCCAAACTAAAAACTAGAATTGGCCTAGGAATTCTGGCTATTCTGGTCTCACTTCACTAAGTTCACTTTGAATATCTAGCAATTTTCACTTTAATAAATAGACCTGTATGTTTATTGGAGCCTGTTATATTGTTTTTAAACACCATCTTTAATGCATACCATTGAGGGCTAACAATACAAAATGCAAGATACTTTGCAATTTAAATTCAATAGTGCTATACGAAATCATGTATTATTTTTTTATATATATATATATATATATATATATAAATAGGTAAGGGCTTGCACTCAGTCTTTTCAGGTTAAAACATTTCAGACTTTATTGTCGAATTTCTATAAAATAGGATCAACGTTTCAGCCCTCATTCGGGGCTTTATTCAGGACTAAATAATAATTAGCTTACCACCGGTGTTTCGCATATCCCCGCCGGCGTCCCTCTGATCCGTGTGCGCATGCTTGAGCCTGCTCCACCCCTCTGTGTGACATGATGATGCCAACTACGATCACCATGGCAACTAAGAGAGTCAAGAAAGTGAAAACACCTAGTGGAATGAGATCGGAAATACAGCTAGATAGTGCTAATGTATACTTCTATAACCAATCTTATATGTGAACATAAATGTATATACAAAAGGATAAAATAATAAAACAGTGGTAATAGAGCGTTATGAGCGGTAACAGTGTTATACATTAGATAGCTGTAAAACATAAAAAGACAGACTTGAAGAAAGTGCACTCAAAGTGTTATTCTTTAAAATGTATCTTTTGAATTATTTCAAATTGTTTTAAAGTGCACCAAAATATTTAATAGAAAAGGGCAATGCCGAATTTATAAACACTAAAAGAATATGTTACACAAATATGAATGACTGCTATACCACTAAAATTAATATCTCTTATAAAGTATATCTACACGGTAAAGCACAAGATAAAATCCTGTTCATAAGTTAATAAGCAGTCAATTAGCTATTGAAAATCTTCTTAGCAGCAGATATCCTATTGACTGTAAGCTTGTTTCAGCAGAGCCCTCACCACCTTTTGTTCCTGTAAGGGTTGTTGCAATTACTTGTATATGCCATCCACCCACTGTACAGCACCGCCAAATATAGTGGTGCTTTATAAAAAATAAAAACTATTCTAGAGTCTTGATTTAAGCATTTCAAGACCGATGATGAGTTAACAAATTAACCTAAGCCCAAAATAAATGAAATATGAGCTGCATGGTCAAAAGAAATGTCTGTGCAATACGTCATTTGTATTTTGTATATTTAATTACAAGTAAGGAGCTTTGGGCAGTGGCTTTGTGAGCAGACAAAATCATTTGACACATGGAAATAGGGGTCAATTCTTTGGCTTTTATGATTATAGCAGATTATGCCAAATGCCTTTAATGCTTCTTATCCAGAGGAGACTGTCCCAGCACTGGATTGCAAATAAATGTAAAGGGTTTTTATTTTGCAATTTTAAAAATAAAACAAAACAAAGGAAACTCTAAGGTTAAAAATAAGCATATTTATTTTTAACCATAGAGTGGTCCTTCAAAATTGAAGGTGTGCTGATGTGCTTTTAAATGCATAGTCATATTTTTTTGTTATAGCCCATCCCTGTTTGGGGCTCATTAAAATGTAAAGATAACACAAATCTGAAAATTGTCTTTCAGCATGTTCTAACCATTGCACACATTGGCCTGTGCTTCAGTGGAGTTAAATCATGTCAACGAACAGACACAGGGAGATGAATGAGAAAGCATTAGTGCAAGAAATTATTGATTACCTATATCTGAGTGAAATGTTTAATGCTTTGAATATTATTAGAACACAATATTTAGGTCTATGAAATAAGACCCTTATAATGGGTGGTTTAGCAAATGTATGCAATACCATATGTCAATTGTTTTTTGTTCTGTTCCTTAAGCATGTATTTATTCTGCTCAAAATAAGATTGCAAGTTTTGACTCTGTACAAAAATGTGTCGGTCAGTGCACACGCTTGTAAATGTATTGAATTGAAGGTTCTGCAATTCTGTCGATGTCTGTAGATATGTGCATTTGCCTGCTTGTGTGCTGTGCTCTGCTTCCTTTCTCATCTGTATTCAGGTTAGTGTATTACTTTCTGCAGTCTCAGCAGCCTGTCTCTAGCAGGGCAGGGAGTCTCCTTACACCACCATAAATCTGGAAATCCAGACAGATAACCTCATTAAACAGAAGAGAAAGCTTGTATATCTGTGAACAGGAACAGGAGGATTTGCACTGTTTTGGTATATGTACATGTGGGTTAAGTCCAATTTTTTTTTTCTGTACATATGAACAAAGGAAAAATATAAAATGTAAATATCAATCCCTGCAGAAATACCGCTTACACGCATTTAGAAAGCGATTCTAAAATGCATGCTACTTACCTGCATACTTAATTGAAGTAATTTATGGCTATAGAAGTGTGTGTATATATGGACATATGTGTGTGTATATATATATATATATATATATATATATATATATATATAGCGATAGATAGCAGAGTAGGATGCTGCAATTACTATATGTAAAAAATATTTTACAGTCCGTGATGCCTCATTAACTTACATGGACGCTTTCTCATGGGATACAAATCCCGATTGCAAACAAATGGAATCAAACAGCACAAATGACTTACACGAGTTCTCCTTGTACAACTCACATGAAGGATGGCATCAATAGAGAATTTATGGGATATACAGAATCCCTTTTGTCAATGGCATAACCTGGGACTGTTGGAGGTATTTTTTTTTTTTATACATTTGTGACATGTACTGTATACACATGTCATAGTTAAAACGTTGCATGATTGGAAAGAAGCTAATTAAGTATTATGGACTTCATTTTAATTGGCAGATCAATAAGCCTACTCTGTCTACTCCCTCCTCCTACCTACATTTTTGTTTCTAAACCTTGGGGGGAGGGTAGTTTATTTTCCTATTTTTTTTATTTATTTTTAAGAAACCTATCTAGTGCAAATATTTTAGTATTTAATAGTGCATACATTGTCATAAATATACAACAAACAATATGGTAATAGAGATGTCATATGATGGCATCTGAATATGTTCCATATTTGTTTTTCAAATAAGTTGACTGCAGTATGCTTAATAGTAAATAGACTTGTGCATGGCAGAAAAATTTGGTTCTGCCGAATCACTTCATCCATAAAAAAAAAAAAATGAGTTCAGGTAGTCCAATAGACGTCCATGTGGCGGTACGGCTTATCCAAATATCGTCCATACAAAAATATTCAGGAAAACAATTCAGATGACCCAAAAAGATATGCAAATGTGCCAATCCGTTAAATGAAAAATAAAATTATTAATATATTTTGCAGTACACTGATAGGAGCATTTTCGCGCCATTTGTTTCACAAATCAAGTAAGCATCAGAGAAAGAAGAGTAGCAGCAGTCTAAAATCTATATTTATATATCTGATACATAAACATAGATTTTTATACTGCTCCTCCAGACACAGACAGAACTACAAATCACAATAGAAACCAACATGCTTGTCCATTGGTTAAGTGGTTTGGTTATACGTCCACATGGCACTTCAGGTACAAAATTAGCATGGCCCGCCAATCGGCCTAAATTCAGATAAATTGCAGTTTCGGCGAAAACAAATTCACAAGTCTAATAGTAAACAGAGAACTTACATCAACATAAGGTATAGGTGGGCATTTGAAGATGGCAAAGGTGATAGAGAGATACGTGATGTGGTTACTGTGATGTAAGTCACCATCGCTGGGACCAGGGCCGGATTAACATAGGGGCTGATGGAGCTGCAGCTCCAGGCCCAGGCCCAGGCCCATGAAATAGGCCCATTAATAAAAACAAAAGTTTTTTTTTTTTTTTTTTTTACACACTACTCTTAGGGTTGCCACCTGACTGGTATTTTACTGGCAGAGTTGGTATATGAGGCTGCCTGGCCGTGCCAGTATTGCAGTAATACTGGCAATACAAATGCAGGTATTTTTCTCAGAATAAACGGAAATTACTCTGCAATATCAGCACCAGCCAGTAGGGGTCACTGTGTGTAGAGAGAGGCAGGGATAGGAAGTTACAGCATATCCCTCCCTCTCTCTACTACTCACTGATCCGTGGGGGAGCAGCAACACAGCACAGAGAGTCCAGACAGCAGCTCTACAGCTCAGGTAAGT